TAGAGGATGCCGCAGAGTCCTCCCCACAATTCAGTCCTTCCAAACAGGATTTTCTTCCCATGTCATGGGCTCCAGGATCTCAGGGAACGTGGGGTGAGGTTCAGCCTTTGCTTCCCAGAGGTTTAGCAGAAAGAGCTTTGGCCCACACTCGGGAAACTGAGGTCTCAACTCTGGCTTTGCTCCCTGTGCTGGCCTCAGCCTCTCTGAGCCTTAGTTTCTTCATCTGTAAAATGAGTCCATTACCTGCAACCTGTTTACCTTCCAGCATTGTTGAAAGGCTCCAGGGAGGCTGAGACACGGGATCCCTCTACGGACTGTGTTGCAGTGACCAGATGGGAGGGACCTGACAGCTCAGGGACTGAGGTGGGCATGGGTCTGGAGAGGGTGACCTAGGCCATGCCATCTGCAGGAACAGGGTCAAAGGCCTTCAATGTAGCTGGATGCAGGTGGGTCTGTGCACTCCAGGCAGCTCCAGAGGGGGAGAGACCACAGCAATAGAGTTAAGTGTGAGAAAATGAGTCAGTCAGGGAGAGCGGGAACGTGCAGAGGTGTGTGTGTGTGTGTGTGTGTGTGTGAGAGAGAGAGAGAGAGAGAGAGAGAGGATAGATGGCTATTTGAATAAGTGAGCAGGAAGATATTGTCTTTTGCATATTTGCCTACAATCATTTGCTTAAGATTTTATTACTGAGCACCTACCCTGTGCCACGCTAACTGCTGGACACTAGACACGTGGAGAATATGACACAAGTCCTCCATCAAGACATGTGCACTCTGGTGGGGCACAGGCTGAACACCAGACACGCTGAGTGCAGAGATGGAAGAAGGCTTGGGGGCCAAAGAGAACCCTGAGGCAGATCCAGAGGCTCCTCCAAAAGTGGCATCAGCTGAGATGAGAAGGGGGGCAGACTGGGCAGGAGGGGGCAGGTTGGCACTAGCAGAGGGAGCAGCCCTGGAGTCATAACCTCTGCAGAGAAACCAGACCGCAGGTCAGGATGGCACCTCTCTCCCCTCAGAATTCCAGAGACTAGGATCCATGGGACACAGAAAGGGACCAGCACGGGGGACCTAGTGGCCACCTGGACTTCCTCCGACCTGCATCCGTACTCGGTTTCCTATAGCCAGGGCTCAGGGAGGCGGACCGCGGTGGGCACCGGGGCAGGATCGTGTCTCTCCACTCTGCAGAGAGCACCAAGTGTTTACATGGCCCTGGCTCTGTGCCAGGCACGTGCTGGGAAACCAGTGTTCTGCCCAACCCAGGTGTTTGCTAAATATTTGTTAAATAAATGACCATGGGAGCAGGGCCAGGACCGGAGCAGCGGAGCAAAAAAGGTCTTTCTTATGCATAGGCCAGCCCTAGGTGACTATAGATTAGATCCTACATGGACACATTACAGTAGTTTAATGATATCTGGGTTTAATTGTGATCTCACTTACTCATTACTCATTGCACAGGGTCCTCGAATTGCAATAATCCAACCCTTAGACGGATTTTTCTTTGTCCCTTTCAGAATTGAGGAATGTAAAGATTCTACAGGACCAGGCATCTCCTGCTGGTTATGGGGGCAACTCGTTATTTCCTACCTGCCCGGGGAATACCCAGAGAATGGGGAGAGCCCAAGACCACCCTTCCCTGTCCTTCCATTCCGGGACCACAGCCACCTCCCCCTTATTTTAGCAATCCCCTCTCCCACTGCTCTAAGCTGCAGGTGGCCCAGACTTTTCTCACCAATGCCCTTTGCAGAGATGAACTGATCAGGTCCTCCTGCTCACACATCTCCTTGACCTTGAGCTTTTCCTCCATAGTTCTGATCACAATCTGTGATCCATGTTCCTTTTAAAAACATGTTTGCTAAAGGCTGTCTTCCCCACCGGACTTGAGCTCTGTGAGGGCAGAGATCACATGGGCTTTTCCTCATCACTGCGCCCAGAGCAGCTTGGCCAGTGCTGGGCCCGGAGTGGCTTGCTTTGCCGACAGCATGAAATGATCGAAGCAGCACCTCAGGGCGCAGACGTCCGCCAGGGGTCCTGAGAGGAAGTGTAGAGTGGGAGCTTTCCAGGACGCACCATGCAGGCCCGTCCCGGAGGTGCTCAGTAAACACTCTCTGAACTCTGTCCAGCTGCAAGACCCAAGTCTGTGGCCAGAGGGTGAGCCTCCAGCCAGCCAAATGGTTCAGAACTGTGCCTGAGCTTTCTCGGTGTCTCAGAAAGGGCATTTACTTGTCCCCCAAGAAGGGAGGCTGGGTGGGGGGAGATCCAGCACACCATTCCAGCTCCTTCAGCTTGACCCTGATTTGTTCTACGTACTGAATTTCTCCAAAATTTAAAGAACGAGTTTCTCTTGCTTTAAAAAACAAAACAGAAAAGTTCGTAAACCACTTATGCAGTGGAAAGGACAGTGGGTTGCCAGCCTGGGACATTCTCAGGTCCACTGCACAATGTCCAGGAAGTCTTCTGCAGGGTCCCTCACCTCTCCGGCCTCAGTTACCTAATCTAGAAAATGGAATCACAATGCCCTCCTTATAGGATTAAACAAGAGAGCTCCCTGCATATTAAGTACTCGGGAAATGTTTGTTGATAGGACTGCAGTTCCCCAGGACCATGAGTCCTCAGGGCAGGCACTCCATCTCACTAACTGCTGGTTTCTTCAGAGCTGGCCCAGACGCTGAGGTGGCCTCTCTAGAATATTCTATTCCCCTCTCCAGAACTTGCTTTCCTAAGGTCCCACCTAGTGCTAAGATTGACCTTTGAGTCCTTTCCCACACCTGATTCTCTTATTAGGAGTTAAAAGCGTGACTCCCAGAGCCAGGTCCTCCCGGCTCTTTAACTTAGCAGCAGCCCAGCTCCTGGCTGAGACCCCCAGTTAACCCCAGGGCCTGGGGAACCTGCCTGGTTCTCTTCCTACACAGCCAGCTCCCTAGCCACTCCCCAGAGACCCTGGGGCCGCGGGTGGGAACCCAAGTCGTGCAGGCTCCACTGTGGTTGCAGAGATTTAAACCCATCTCCTTCTGCACTTTGGGAACCCATCTATCACCCCAGACACAGATGGCGAAGCCAAAGCCAGCAGGAGGGAAGAATTCAATCCGGGAGAGCTTCTAGCTGTCCAGGCCACCCGCACGGCAGCAAGGTGGGGAGGGGGTAGAAGGGCTGACCTTGTGAGATTTATCACAAGGACAATGCCCTGGAGCCCCGACTCCCCTCCCCCACCCGGGCTTTCTCTCTGTGCTTCGGAGCCATCACACACACACACACACACACACACACGCACACACACACGCACACACGCACGCTGTTCCTCTTGCCTCCTCTTCTGGGGGAACTGACCTTGAACTTGGCTCTGCCTTCAGGCAGGCCCAGCTTGAGGCTCAGCTCCGTTATCTAACAGCTGTGTGAGCTTGGGGGAGGTATACAACTTCCCTAAGCCAAGGCTCATCCCTTTTAACTGGAGGTAATAACAACACGTAGTGCGAAGGTTGTTTTGTAACTCAGTGAGGATGACGCGAGTGGCAGGCTGCGGCTAGTCGGGCTAGTGGTGGGTCCCTCCTTGCGCTGTGCCCTAGGCACCTCTCCTGTCTTGTCCCAGTCCTGACCTTGGGAGTAGGGGTGGCAATCACCATTTTACCAGATAAGGAAACTGACCAGGTGGCTCAACTGGCAGTGAGTGGCAGAGCGGGGATTAGGACCCAAGTCCTATGGGGGCCAGGACTAAGCACTTGCCCCTCTACTCCATGGGGCTAGAGAAGACACCCCTGAGGGGATTGCTCCCCACTTTGTCGATGGCAAAGAGTGCCTCAGCTTCCCACTAATTGTGTACGTGGATTTGTCAAGAACTGTTATACCAGCTGGGGCTCTTTCTGTCTTCCAATGGGTTGTGACAAATTCCTTAATGTGGCATGGCCTGGGTTAAGGAATAAGGTTTATGGGGAATAGAACGCTCTGCAGGCCAAGGTCAGAAAGACAGCCACATACATGCTCTTCCAAAATCACTGTCACCTCCCAGATAGGTACACTGGGGCCAGGGCACCTGCCAGACATTAAATGGGCTCCAAGTCCATGAGGGACCCTCCCAACCACTCTCCCTTCTTATAGGGCAAGTGTGAGGAAGGTTCATGTCAGTGGGGAAATACACGAGGTTTTAGGCACCAGGCACTTTAGAATTGAGAGACTGACTGTTCACTAGCATTCTCTGGGAAAACAACAGCCTTGACCCTTGGAACCTCGGGGCCTATGAGATGTGACAGAGCCCTCTGCCAAAAGGAGGAGCCACCTATCCCATGAGCATCTCAGCTTATGTGCACTTGCCCCCCACCCCGGGTCCCAGCTACCTCACTGTCCTGGCACCTCAGGCCAGCACTGGGTCATGTTAGGACAGCCCTACTCCCTGGTTGCATCCAGGAACCTCTGAGGGCTTGTGCCTTGTCACAGGCAGAAAGTTCAGTCCCTGGGGGTTCTGGTCCACTCCTGCCTCTCCAGTCACAGCCAGCACTGGCCAGTGTGGGGACCAAGCTCACCTGGGCTCTCCCCATGCCCACTGGCTCTCATTCCAGCCTACCTGTCTCTCATCCTTGCCTCCCTATACCATGCACATCACTCCCTCACCCACTTCACTGGCCAGGTGCTATCTGGGGTCCCCATAGTCCCATAGCAGCCTCCTGCCACCTACCAAGGCTGTCCTTCTTTGGGGGCCACTTGGCCACTCTTCCATTCCAGTTTTCCCATGCTCTGTGAGATTGGCCCCTCAGTGGCAGGCCTGCATGGCCTGTCTGCCATGGCTGATCAGTGTCCCCTCAGTGTCCATCTTGTCCAGGAAGGTAGGAGGGAGGACCCGTGCTCTGAGGACCCTACGGAAGGGCAGAGGGTTGGGGAGAGGAGAGGAAGCAGGAGATGAGATAGCACAGGCTCCCCGGGGCCAACAGGAAGGAAAGGAGGCCAGGACCCCAGGAAAAGATGTGAGGGAAGGTGTTTACCCCTACCACTGACCACCCTCCCTATATTCCTCACAGATCCCCAGTCTGGAGGCAGAAGAAAGCCTTCCTCCTGTTGGGATGAGGTAAGGAAGGCCATGAACACAAAGCCAGCCCTGGTCCGCTCTGGTTGAAGCCATCACATGTCCAGTCCGTGTTCTTAGACCTACAGCAAGTAACAGCTTTGAAGCCAAACCTGAGTTCAAATCCAAATCTTCACATTTGCGCACTGAGGGGGTGGCTTTCTTCTCTGGACCTCAGTTTCTTCATGTCTAAAATGAGGGAGTTGCTGATTTTGAAGGTCCCGTCCAGTTTTAGAGTTTTAAGACTCAATACCCATAATTACAGCACTCCTCACGGACCTGCTCTGGGCCCGGCCCCGCTCTAAGCTCGGCGCATGCGCAAAAGCACAAGAAGGTGGCGCACTCTAGTCAGCCCCACTTACAGATGAGAAATTCCGGGCTTCAGAGAGGGAAGGGCCTGGCTCTGAGTCACACAGCCAGCATGGGACAGAGCCGGACGTGGAAGTCAGGCTGTTGGTCTCCGTGTTCCGGCTTTGGCTCCCTCATTTCACACCCTCCATTTCTAAAACTCAGATCCGAGTTGGGAAAGCAATGAGGACAAAGCTGATGCCTCCCCGGTTTGGCCAAGAGGCGAAGTGTGCTCTTTCAGAAATCAGGGTGTCAAGGCCACTGTTCTGACTCAACCAGCACAATTCCGGAGAATCCCCCTGAGACCCAAGTCCCCCGTCCACACTGCAAACCACCACCACACGCTATCTTTTCCAGCCGAACAACAGAAAATAGGGGAGAACTGGCTGGACGGGCCCGGCCTGCAAGGACAGGAAAGAAAGAGCACCGTGCAAGCCTTCCCTCTATAATGTCAGCCTGACCAGTTTCCACCTCTTGCTGGAAGGAGGTGGGTTAGGAGCAGAGGCAGAGAACTGGGCAGGTGTCAGGGAGGGAGATGTGATTTTGATGCTTGTGTCTGGGAGGCCGCGGGTAGCCTGCCCTAATTTTCTTTCTGTCATCTTTTGATTAACCCTGGGCCAGTTTGGGTGGCATTTTTCAAACCATCTACGCTTGGCAGGCAGAGTCAAGCCCAGGCTTGCCGCTCACTCTCTGTGAGCATCAGCTGGGAACTGGCTGTCATTCAGAGCCTGGGACAACAGGAGGCACACTGGCCGCAGAAGGCTCTGGCAGCCTTGTGCCGGTTAATCACGCCCGTGCCTCCCAAGCCCAGAAACAGCAGCCTGTCATGCCAAGCTCAACAGGCACCGTGCAAGGAAGAATAATTGCCACAGTCCCTTGAGTGCTCTTTATTGGCTGGGGCTTTCTGGGGATCCCTACATTCAGTCCAGCCTTAGCCCTGTGTGTGTTCCGGACTCTCACTGTTCCCACCTGAGGATGGGAGACGTTGAATAACTTCCCAAGGTCACAGAGCCAAACGGGGACCCAAGGTTCCACGCAGTACGAAGGGAAGACTCTCTTGGTCGAATCCCTCAGCGCTGTCACCTCCCCCCCCGGCATGGAATGAACTGTGCCACCACCCCAGTGCATTTGTTGGAGCCCTCACTCCCAGTGTGACTGTATTTGGAGATAGCACCTTAAAAGAGGTAATTAAGGTTAAATGAGCTCACGGGGGTGGGGCCTTGATCAGATAGGACTGGTGTCCTTGTAAGAAGAAAGGCACACACAGAGAAAAGGCCACATGAGGTCACAGGGGTCATCTGCCTGCAGAGGAGTGAGGTCTCACCAGAGAGGTCTTAACCTTGCCAAACACTTTGATCTTGGACTTGCAGCCTCCAGAACCACAAAAAAATAAATTTCTGTGAAGTCACCCAGTCTGTGGCATCGTGTTATTGGCAGCCCTTGAAAAGTAACATCCCCTCTACGTAGCATCCTTTCCCATATTTTTTATTGTAGTAAATGTACATAACATGACATTTACCATTTTTACCATTTTGAGGTGTACAGTTCAGCATCGGGAAGCACATTCGCACTCCTGCGCAACCATCCGCTCTGTCCATCTCCAGAACTTCTCAGCATCGCAAACTGAAACCGTGTCCTCAGTAAACACCAACTCCCCGTTCTCGTCTCCCCCGGCCCCTGGCAACCACCACTCTCCTTTCTATCTGTACAAATCGACCTGTTCTAGGTGCTGCGTGTCATGGAATCATACAGTAGTTGCCCTTTTGTGTCTGGCTTATTTCACTTAGCAATGTTCTCCAGGCTTACCCATGGATGTGTCAGAATTTCCTTCCTTTTGAAGGCTGAATAATATTCCATGCATGGACAGACCATGATTTCTTTTACCTGTTCATCCACTCCCATATTTTGAACATACAAAAGGGATCCCATTATCCCTTTGTTCACAACTCGGCCTCCGGTGGTTTCTTGACACATCTAGGGTCAAATGCAGACTTTTCTCTGGGGCTTCCAGGCTTTGCTTGATCTGCCCTCTGCAGTAGCATCCTCCACCTCTGGTCTCCTCGCTGTGGTGCACCCCAGCCACCAGGCCCTGTGGCTCTTGCTGGCCTCACAGTTACTGTTACCTCCCCTGGACACTGTGTCAGATCTCACCTGGCTCTGTCTGGCACATCCTCTCCTGTACAGCCCCCCAACCACACACACCAGGCACTTTCTGTCCATGAATGCTGCCTTGTTTTTCCACATAGCACTTACTGCTCGTGCAAGGACATTACCCATTGATTCACCTGTTTCTGGTCTGGCTCGCCCACCAAGAGTTCAGTCCCATGAGGGCAGGGACTGTGACGACTGTCACTGCTTTCTCAGCAGTCGGTGCAGGGCCTGGCACATAGGCAGGACTCAGGGGAAGCTGAGGGGTTGACAAGGCAGGTGAGAAGCCTGAGGGCCAGGGAAGACCACCCAGCAACCAGGCAGCAAAACTGGCCTTGAATCTGGGCCTCCAGATCCTCTTCCCTTTCCCCAGAGGCTCTGCTCTACCTTCCTGTTAAAGGCCCTGGTTCTCTATTCCACCTTCCCATGTCTGTCTGTCCATCCACACTTACCCTTTAGCAAAGCCACCAGTGATCCTGCCATAGGGCATAAGGGCTTGAGCCATCTGTCTGGCTCCTTAGACCCCATCCTGAGAGTTGCCCCTTCCCGTCACTGCAGCGATGGGCCATTTAGTTCATCTTTAATGCATTCTTCCCATGGGAAGAGAGTGGTGTCGCTGCAGGGAAAGGACTGGTGTTGTTTTCCTTTTTGCCCTCTGTCCGTTCAGCCGGGAGGCTCCTCTGTGAGTGTGTGAACTGACCAGTCCTGGGCAAAGGCCTCTGGGGGCTGTAGACACAGCTGACTCCCCTGCCCGTGCTCCAGCCCTTGCGGGTCCAGGACCTTCTGGGACCATGATTTTTGGAGCTCCTTAGACTCCAAAGCCAACCATTACCCTCTGGAAGCTGTTCGAACTTTGCAAGTCCCATCACTTCTTTGAGTCTTGCTTTCTGCTGGAAAGTGGACACAATAATATCAGTCTTGCACGTTTATTGAAGGAATGCACTCCAGTGTTCCGTGCAATGCTGTTTCATATAAAGAACTCAACAAATTATGGCCTGTTTTTACTTTTATGGGTTATTGCTGTTTATAAGAACCAAGGTTATGTCTCCTCTCTCCTCTCCTCCGTATACTAGTCAAACCTCCTGGGTTTCAGAAAATGGCTGGTTGACCGAAATCAGAAGAGCGTTCGAGACTTCTCCAGCATGCTCTTCACCTTCCCTTTCCCTACCTAGAATCGGAGTATCAGTGGCAGAGAGTCTTATTCTAGGCAGATGGGACAGGAGGGCTAGCAATCCATTCGAGAATGAGCTTAGCATCCAGAGTCTTCGAAATCCATTCAGTCCATGGGGCACCTGGGTGGCTCAGCCAGTTAAGCATCTGCCTTCAGCTCAGGTCATGATCCTGGGGTCCTGGGATGGAGCCCCATGTAGGGCTTCCAGCTCAGCGAGGAGTCTGCTTTTCCCTCTCCCTCTGCCCCTACCCCCGCTCGTGCTCTCTCTCTCTCTCACACTCTCTCTCTCTCTGTCTCAAATAAATAAATAAAATCTAAAAACAAAACAAAACAAACAAAAAACCCATTCAGTCCAGTCCCTCCCCAGTCCCTGCCCATTCACAGTGAACAGTCTCCGCCTGGTGAAAAACAGGAAGTATGGAAGTGAAACCTTAGCATTATAAGCCTAAAACCTGAGTGTTACAACCTCTCTTGTGGCCTGGGTCAGACTCCCCCAAGAACGCCTCTACCCTGGAGGTGGGAAGCTGGGCCCCAAATCTCAAAGCCTCAGGGCAGGTGGGCTCTGGCAGGACATTTAGCAACATTTGGTGAACTAAAGCCCAGAAACTACAGGGGACCTGTCTCCCTGGGCACTGTGGTGTAGAAGGCAGGCGTGGGGCTCCCCAGCACTAACCAGCACCTGTATGTCATACCTTGGACTTTGCCGTCCTCCCCAGAGAGCTGCTGAGAGCCTGATGGTGGCCAGCATGTGAAGGGAAGTCAAGGCCACTCAGGCAAATGACCAGCATGAGACTCCTAACACTCCACCCCAAACCTCTTCCGTGTACAGATGGGGAAACTGAGGCCAGAGCAAGGAACACGCTTGAAGTAGGTACCTTGAGCCAGAGTCTGGGGGCTGGGGGCTGGCAGCCAGGGGCACCAGGATGAAGAGAGAGCCAGCTCCCCGCAGAGGTGTGGCCACCCAGCAGATGGCTCTTCAAATCCACACAGTCAGTGACTTCACCTGAGACAGAGCAAGGCCCCTCCTCTCTGGCTGTGACCTTGTGCCTTCTTCTCTTGACCTTGTGCCTTCTTCTCTAGCAGGTCCTCCCAAGTCTCGCTCCCTTGCCCTGGCTTGTCTCTTAAGTTTCTGGGCCTGCAGGAAACTCCCCAGCTGAACTACGAGCTCATGGGGGACCGGGGCCATATCTTAGTTATTTAAGAATGCCCAGCATCCAGCACAAGGCCTGGCACAGAGTAGGGGCTCAAAGGATGGAAGAAGAAAAAAGGGAAGGAAAGGAGGAAGGGAGGGAGAGATCATAAACCCTTCTATATCAATGTCTTCCTGTGCCTCCACTCAACCCTTATAAATAAGCAAAGCAGACCTCTCTCTCACCTTCTCTCTGTTTCTCTGTGTCCCCGGTCTCACACCCTGAAGTGATCTCGCTAAGTCCTACTGACCGTTTCTGGCCGGCATTTCTCCCGTCGCTGTCTTCCCATTCTCGGCGCTGTCCCAGAAGTCCACACCATCACCATGTCTCAGTGCTGTGCTGCTGAGGCCTGCAGCCTGCACTTCCTCCTGTTTCTCCCGCCCCTTGCCCCCTCCATACCACGGCCAGACACAGCCAGGGTCCAGCCAGCCCTTCCACCCAGGAGCCGACATCTCGAAATCTGTTCTAAGCAGGTGATCAGGGATGTGCACAGAGACTGGTACACGGGGGTGCTCACCATGGTTACTACATTGTAATAGTGAACAATTGAGACCAGCTGGACTCTAGTCCAAAAACAGTGGGGTTTTTTTGGGCTCATCTATCCGATGGAGCAATATTAAAGCTTTGAAAAATTATTTTGAGGACTACTTAAAAACAAGCAGAAATGGTCTTAATATTAGGTAAAAAAAAAAAATCAGGATACAAAACTGTATGTACCATGAAGGTCCAATCTGTGAATAGATATGTGTACAGAAAAGTGAAATAGAAAAGAAATAAACTGATGCATTAGCGTGGGTTTCAGTTGGACTTAAGGGCTATATTTTAAAGTTCTTCTGGATACTTATCTGTATCATCTACATTGTCTTCAATAAGCATGTATATTTAATCAGACCATAAGGAAATCATTTGCTGAATATACATCTGCAGGTTTTTACTTCCTCTCGAGACCTTCAGTGATGGCTGTGCTTTCCCTACCTCAGTACACAGCCTTCCCATTCTCCTGGAGCACGCCCTGAGCTTCTCGGCCTGGCTGTCACAGCCATGGCCTCAGCCCACCAGCTGCTCGTGGCTCCCAGCCTCCATCCGCATTCTCCTCCAGCCAGACTGGTTCCCACATGGTTTCTAAACCAGACTTGCGTTTTATGTCCCTGAACCTAACTCTCCAATGATTCATTTTATTTAAAGATTAATTATTTATTTATTTGAGAGAGAGAGAGAGAGAGACCGAGCACGAGCAGGGGGGAGGAGGAGAGAGAGAGGGAGAAGCAGACCCCCCGCTGAGCAGGGAGCCAGATCCTGGGATCATGACCGGAGCTGAAGACAGACACTTACCCGACTGAGCCACCCAGGCTCCACTCCGATGATTCAGAAAAACAAATACACACACACATAAAGAGAGACAGACAGACAAAGAGAAGGAATGCAAATACAGCAAAATATTGACAACAGTTTGTGAACCAAGTACATGCTCCCAGGACTAATTTTGCAACGCTTTTATAGTTGGACACTTTCAAAATTAAAAGTGGGGGAAAATAAGGGAGCAGTATAATGTCATGCTTAAAGGTATAGGCTCTGCTT